ACACGTGTTATTCACTTGCAGTTCCCTCCTAGTCCTTTACTTTCAATTTTTGTTATTTTATTATTATGCCACCTCTTTTACCTTGTTGAAAAATTTTTTTAAGGACTACAACTTCATGCATTTAATATGTACAGATTGGGAAACATGCTTCTTCCACCCCTACATCCCTCCTACCCATATTCCTGCCTTTCTTCCTCCTCCCACTTCCTTTCCCATTCTTATTTTTTAGAGATCAATTTTCAGTTAATTTTTGTACTCTCTACACTAAGTAGAGAATTCACTGATTAGTACGAAGAAAAAAAGAAGTAAAGAACAAAAAACAATCAAGAAAAACGTTGTTCTCCAACACTCAAGGCAAGGGCTGTTCAAAATCATCTCATCTCAGTGTCAGTTTTGCTCCTATAGGTTACATTTTAAGTACTCTATTTGTTACAAATCAGAGACACCATATGATATTTGTCTTTGTGTGACTCAGTTATTTCACTAAGTATAATGGTTTCTAGTTTGCATCCATTTTGTTGAAAATGACAGGATTTCATTTTTAATCATTGTGTAGTATTCAATAGTGTGTACACACACACACACAATAATTTCTTTATCCAGTCTTCAGTTGATGGACATCTTTTTTTTTTTTTTTTTTAAGATTTATTTATTTATTTGAAAGTCAAGAGTTACACAGAGAGAGGAGAGGCAGAGAGAGAGAGGTCTTCCATCTGATGGTTCACTCCCTAGTTGGCCCCAATGGCTAGAGCTGTGCCAATCAGGAGCCAGGAGCTTCTTCCAGGTCTCCCATGTGGGTGCAGGGGCCCAAGGACTTGGGCCATCTTCTACTGCTTTCCCAGGCCATAGCAGAGAGCTGGATGGGAAGTGGAGCAGCCAGGACTCGAACCGGTGCCCATATGGGATGCCAGTGCTTCAGACCAGGGTTTTAACCTGCTGCTCCACAGCACCGGCCCTGGACATCTGGTTTGATTGCATATATAAGCTATTGTAAATTCAGCTGACACATGACAAATTTAATTTGTTATGGAAGGTCTTTTTAGAAAAAATAAATATTTATTTGAAAGTCAGAGTTACACAGAGAAAGAGAGGAAGATAGAGGAGAGAGTGAGGTCTTCCACCTGCTGGTTCACTCCCCAATTGGCTGTAACAGCTGGAGCTGTGCTGATCTGAAGCCAAGAGCCTTCTCCAGGTCTTCCATGTAGGTACAGGGGCCCAAGGACTTGGGCTGTCTTCCACTGCTTTTCCAGGCCATGGCAAAGAGCTGGATCAGAAGAGGAACATGTGGGACTTGAACCTTTGCCCATATGGGGTGCTGGCTCTGTAGGCAGCGGCTTCACCTGCTATGCCACAGCGCCAGCCCCTCGAAAGTCTTTATTTCACCTTCATTCATAAGTGAGAGCTTTGCAGGATAAAATATTCTGGGTTGGTAGTATTTTCCTCTTAAGACTTGGACAGTGTCTTGTCATTTTGTCCTAGCCTATGCAATTTCTGATGAGATGTCAGCTGTTGGTCTATTTGGAGATTCCCTCAAAGTATCCTGGCATTTCTGTCATGCACATTTTAGAATCTTTATGTTTTACTGTGGAGAGTTTGAGTATAGTGTTTCATGGTGATATTTTCTGGTCTTGTCTATTAGGAGTTCTGTGTGATTCCTGTACTTGGATGTCCGTTTCTTTCTCCAAATTAGGGAAGTTTTCTCTAATTATTTCAGTAAAAAGGCCTTGTAATCCATATTCTTTCCATGGCTTCAGGCACTACTAAGACCCATATGTTGAGTGATTTATAGTATCCCATAAATCTCCAACACTGTTTTTTAGTTTTCTAATTGCTTCTTCTTTTTTTTTTTTTTGGTCTGACTAAAATTCCAGAGATTGGTCTTCTAACTTGGATATTCTTTCTTCTGCTTCAACAAATCTATTTTTAAGGGCTTTCCAGTGCATTTTTTGTTTTATTGAATTCTTCACTTCTAGTATTTCATTTTCATTTGTCTTTAAAATCTCAATTTCATGCGAAATATTTTTATTCATATCATATATTGTTTTCTGTAGCTCGTGGATTTGCTTCTGATTACTTGAGTAGTCCTATGATTAGTTTCTTGAATTCCATTTCTGGCATTTCCTCAATCTCTTTATCTTCACATTCTAATATTAAAATGTTCTTGTATTCCTTTGCAGAGGTCATAGTGTCTTCCTTGTTTCTTGAATTTTTCATTAATTTTTAGGCATCTTTAGAATTTTTTTTCCTCTTAAGCTTTTTTATCTTTGAGCTATGCCTCTGTGGCTTAGTGGAGTGTCTATGCTTTCAGTGAATTCCAAGAAGTGTGTGGTTAGTGATGCCAGGGAGTTATGGCCAGTACTCCAGGATGGGGTGAGTATCTGGGGTAACACTGAAATTGGGTGTGGCAGCTCTCTGGTTAACTGGATGGAGAGGAATGGTCATCTATGTTGGTGGGACCACTCCTCCTCCTCCAAGCTAAGGAGTGCCCAGGTATTAGCCCTGAATGTGTTCAACACTCATCTGCACCACTGTATGAACTGCACATGACTGCGCAGCCCCTCCTATGAGCACTGTTTCTTCTGCTATGAGCTGTTCTAGGCGACCAAGGAGCTCTGAGAATGCACCCCAGCACTCTGATTGCCCAACAATTGCTGGGTGCACACACACAAGCTGGGACTGCTGCCATATGCCTATGTCTAAAAATGATGCCAGTTCTCCCACCACTGGGTACAGGTCGCTGTTGTAGAATGGAGGAGAGGACAAAGAAGTGCTTCTCTTCCTCCCTGGGCAAGCAGTCGCCCTACCATCCTGAGGGATCCCGGCTGGATGCAAAAATGTAGTTTCACTAAGCTCTCCCTCCTGCTGTATTAACAGCAGCACGGACAGCTGGAGTCCGATCTCACCTGGTTTGCCAGGGTGGGATGGTTCTTTCTCGGATCCATGCTGCTGGGTCTTCCATTCTTGCAGTACCTTGCTGTGTATCTACTTTCTGCACAGGTCCGGGCTGTTTCCAATGCTTTTGTAGGATCTCCCTCTGCAGTTTCCCTTGCAGCTTTGCCTTGACAGTGTACTTTCTCTACTTTTTTTTTTTTTTTTTTTGACAGGAAGAGTTTGACAGAGAGAGAGACAGAGAGAAAGGCTTCCTTTTTCTGTTGGTTCGCCCCCCAAATGGCCACTACAGCTGGCACGCTGCGGCCGGCGCACTGCGCTGATCCGAAGCCAGGAGCCAGGTGCTTCCTCCTGGTCTCCCAAGCGGGTGCAGGGCCCAAGCACTTGGGCCATCCTCCACTGCCTTCCTGGGCCACAGCAAAGAGCTGGACTGGAAAAGAAGCAACTGGGACAGGATCCGGCGCCCTGACCAGGACTAGAACCTGGGGTGCCGGCGCCACAGGCGGAGGATTAGCCTAGTGAGCCGCGGCACCAGCCTCTCTACTTCTTTATATTAATTTCACCCCATGGAAATTAGACCACCCTGTCACTATTTGTCATCTTAGAAAGTCCCAGCACTGCCCCCCCCATTCATGTTTTTCTCACATCTTGTGCTATTGTTTGGCTTATCTTGGTACTAGTGAATCTGGGAAAAAGTTCAAGTCTTTTAAATGTGGGTTTTCTCAAACCTTACGTTTCTTAGGATATATGTGTACATGGAAATAAGCTGGAACCTGATAACTATGGTTTGTATTAATATCTCTGAATATATCTTATATTTACATATGTAGATTCAAGTGTAAAAAGATTTAGTTTTCTATGAGTATCATTCAATCAGCATAAAATATGAATGTTTTTCATTTCATTTTGGTAATTTTTTTAATCCTCAGGTATCATGTTACCCTTTTTAATTTATTTCAGAGACAGACACATGTGTGTGTTTTCAGAGATTCTATTTGCTGGTTCACTCTGCAAATTCTACAACTGTCAGGGTTGGACCCAGAACACAATCCAGGTCTCCCACTTGGGCAGCAGGAACCCAATCACCTGAGCCATTACCACTACCTGCAGGTCTACATTGGCAGGAAGCTGGAGTCAGGAGTCAGGGCTCGGAACTGATAAGGGATGTAGGCATCTTTAACCACAAGGCAAAACTTGTTTTAACTTAATAAAACTAAATTTGTTTGATCTAATGCCTGCTCCTTGAAGTTGATTTTTAGACATTAACTTAAAATATTTTGGCAAACTTTTAATCTCCATTATTTAGAATATTTCTAGGTCCCATGATTTGAAAGCTAGCTATTTCTTTTGTGAAAAATAAATTGAAATAAAGTCCCTCTTATTACCTAAGAGACTACTAGAAATTGGAATGTCCTACATTATTTATTCCTCACTGTATATTTGTATTTACAGATTACTAATTTTATATAATGTTCCAATATAATTTTGGCATTAAATACCATTAGCTATTTTCTATACAATAAACTATTATTCTTATACTTTAGAAGCAACCTTAGAACCAAGTAAATTTTTTATAATTTAGGGAATTGTTTCTGTAAGATATTAACAAATCTCATTGTTTGTGGGATGAGTGTGCTGGGTTACCGTTTCACCTCTGCTTCAATGGAACCCTGAGAAAACTAAGAATGACCACTGACTGGTTCTTTGCCTCTTGTCTGGGAGGAATGATTCCAGGTAGGAGCCAGAGCATGGGGCTTCCCTAAGCATAACGTACTTCATGTTACTGGTGTGTGTCTCCTCTTTGGGGACCCCAGAAAGCTATGTTCATGGATGTTTCTAGTCTGTACCAGTCTTGTTCCTGTACCATCTTAGCAGTCATCGTGCTGAACACCTGACCTCCCCTGTGGAGGCTAGAAAATATTCCCAGCACTCCTTCTACCTGATGCTGTGCTGCTGACATGCTGCCCTGCGTCACATTTTGGCTGACTGAATGTTGTTGAATTGTCCTGCTGAACCTAAGACCAATGCTGCTGGTTGAGCAAAATGGGCACTGTACTGTCTTAAGTGTTGAATATGAAAAACACAATAACAGTTCTTCCTTTATTTTTCAGAAATGTGTTACAGACGAGTGCTTCTTTTTTGAACGACTGGAGTCTAATAACTACAATACTTACCGGTCAAGGAAATATTCCAGCTGGTATGTGGCACTGAAACGAACTGGGCAGTATAAACTTGGATCCAAAACAGGACCTGGGCAGAAGGCTATACTTTTTCTTCCAATGTCTGCTAAGAGCTGATTTTAATGGCACCATCTAATCTCATTTCACATGAAGAAAGAGAAACATATATTTGTTAATGAGAGGAAAACAAATGTCTACAGCTCAGCTTTGTTGAATGGCCAGGCAACTTTTTATCTAATAATAAAATGTTTAACCATTGCCTCAGTAAAGAAAACAATTCCTAGAGAATGTATAGACTTCCACCTTTTATATAGAATCTGCTGTTACCCAGTCAAGGTTACCTAGAACTATAATCTTTCTCACATATTTGCTTTATTTGAAAAGCTTTTAAAATATGCACATTTACAAATTTTCTTAATGGAAATCATATATTAGAAAATTAGTCATATTTATCCCAAAGGTTCATTATGTCTTATAGCACATATTCATTTACATGTACATCTTAAATTTTAAAAAAATGTAAAATGTGAACTTAATCCATTCCTATCATAGTTTTGTAATTCTCTGGCAGTTCTTTGTGATACAGTTTATAGAAAAGGCCTGTGTAAACTGCTGGAAGCTTTTCCATGGTCAGATCAATCTTGTCAAACCCTTCTCTGTACCCATATAGCAGCAGTCCCGCAACTCTGCGGGTGATGGGAGTTGTGTTTTCAGTCTTAACAAGCTCAGTGAGATCCATCCACTCACATCTTAAGCATTCATGCTGGCAAAAATTTATGGTGAATGAAAATGGCTTCAGGCGGCAGACAATATACATATCAGACTTCCCAAAGGCTCCCGGACTGGTGTGCTGCTGCCGGATACTCAAGAGGGACTGGAATTCTGATTCTATCCCAGTCTCTTCAAAAACTTCTCGAACTGCTGTGTCTCCTACACGGAAGACAGATGTACAAATCACTAAGGATCACATTTTCAGAAACGTCATCATCAAAGATTTCCAGTGAAAAGAGCATTATCTAAAGTTTCCAAAGCAAACGGAACTGCAAGAAAGTTTTCAACACGAACTGCCTGCCTTCTGAATGTACTGAAATGGTATTTTCTCACCACTGTACATTTCAGAAGCTTTTGAAGTACTGAATATTCCTTTTGGCTACTACTTGGAGGCTTATTCAACCTGTACGTTTGTGGGGTCAGATCTTTTTAAACTCTCTTGTTCTGTTTTCCAAAAGGTAAAAGCATAGGTTACTAAAGTTAAAATGTATGTTGTAAAGCTGTATGAATACTCACATTCCTTTATAGTTCTTGATCATTATTCTTTATCATCCATTAAAACTGCCTCAATTGGTACATACCAGCTTTGCGAAAAAGTGATCTATTCCTCCTGGTACATGGAGTGCTTCAAAAGTTTGTGGAAAATGGAGTTAAGATGTTTATTTTGGTGTAAAAAATTTTAAAATCCATGCCAAAGTTAATGGGGGCTGTTTGGCATTGCAGTTAAGATGCTTCTTTGGAGACCTGAATCCCATATAGGAATGCCTGTGTCTGAGTCAGCTCTGCTTCCTATTCCAGCTTCCTGCTAATGCAGACCTTGGGAGGCAGCATGTGAGACCTGCCACCCATGTGGGAGACCCAGACCATGTTCTCGGCTCCTGCATTTGGCCCAGTCCAGCTTAGACTTGAGGCATTTGGGGAGTGAAACAGCAGATGAGTGCTCTGTCTGTTCTGTCTTGTAGATAAACAAGTTTTTAAAAAATTTATAAAAGCAGTTGTCTTCCTTAAATTAATGGAACATATATGTTATGAAAAAAACTATGCATGGATTTCAAAAAGATTTTGAATCTAAACAACTTATCTACCATTTTCCACGTCCTTTTTGGGAGTCCCTTCAGAAGTCTGTAGAGCTGTAGCATCTACCAAACTAGGGGATTCTAACCTCTTCTGGTGAGCTCAGGTGGGCTGCACAGCCTCCAGGCCAGAAAGGAGATTCCTATACAACTTTCTGTGTGCACCTCTAGTTGTTCCTCTGTCCCCATCACAGATGAGTTTGAGATTTCCCTTGTTTCCTCTGAGAAGATTCCAATAACCTGGATACATTCCTTCAACACCAAAATGCTGCTGTCATTTCATCCATAATTTTCAAAACTGGGAATATATAGAATTTTTATAATACAACATTTTCATATTTTATAAGGTTGTCTTTTCACTTAAGTGCAAATTTCTGTGGCAAGACTTTTATTGCCATCAGTATATTTTTGTGGTTGCTTTTTCTACACATCCACATGGACTCCTCTAACTGGACTTTTCATAAATTTTCTGAGACTCTGCCATTGTCTCCCAAAGTGTTTCCAGGAAGCCTTTAACAAAGCTGCCTTCTCTGACCACTTTGCTGGGGAGACTTCACCATTGCTATAGAGGTTGCTGTTGTTAGTATTCTTTAATGCCTCCATTGTTTGAATTTGCCAAGTACTACTAAACGGTATTTGCCTTCTCAGCAGTCCTACTGGTGAAGAACAGACAAGTAAGAGGAAGTCAGAAAAATGTCTCAGTTCCTGTGTGCTTTGACTACAGACTTTTGTACCAGTCCCCCTGGATATGCTCTTGTTTTGTGTTTAGGAAACAGTTTTGAAAAGATGGAGAGGAAGAGCAAAGTGTTCTAAACAGAAGGCATTTGTCTACCATTTTTAAACTGAAAGTATAAAAGACATTTAGGTTTCAGAGAAAACTTTCCTTAATAAGAATTATTTTTATGCCAAGTCAATACCTGTTTGATCTTAAATGAGTGTTCCTAAATATTCTATAATGTTGTTTAAATGTTTATTTTTGTTCTTCAAGACAACTCCACACCCTCAGTCATTTTTGTTTTGCCCATAGTACCACTAATCAAGAGCTGAGCATTCAGTTTATCAGTCTTGGCTGTTTGTACGTCCTTGAAGCACAGGATGGGGCCTGTGAGCTCATCTGCTCTGCTCAGCAGCCTCCAACTCTGAGAGAAGATTGAAAACCCACACTTCGTGGGGAGTTTTGATCTGTTTAACTTGAATATTACTGACTGGAGTTGAATGGAGAAACAAGATAGAGGATCGCTTCTATCTCAAGAAGGAAGAAATCTCTTTCCCAAGGATTTCAATATAAATTTATCTTGATTTTTAACTGCTTTTTTCTGTTCTATCTTAAAATTTTAATATACTATAAGCTAAACTTAGATAATATTCACTGTTTTATAGGTTTGAAGAATATAGAAAAATTAGAGGATTTTGCTAATGAAAGGGTGTGTTAAAATAGGGTACACTGTTTTGCTACAGAATTATAAATGGAGTTTATATTTGCTATTTCTATTTTGTAATATTTAATGATGGGATTAGGCTGAAAGAAAACAATGGGAAACATTTTGCAGAATGTGGGTTTTCCTAGTGTTTCCTCATGTGCTGATGAGCTCTGCTTGGACTCGGCTGCCTTGTGGATCTTTGGCTGAGGCACGCCACTCTTCCCGTCAGTAGTAATGAGATTTTTTTTTTAAAGGAACCTTGTAGATAATCTTTAAGAGTACTGTTTTATATTAAAGCCTTGAGGATTACATTCACTTTTGTGTGCGACACTCATTTTTTAAACACTACAGATAATGTTTCATTTACCAGGACTTCAGAGCCAAGATCCATTATAAATGTTTAACTGTGTGTGATGACAGCTGTCCTCAAGTATATTATATGCTTTCCTAAATATACCAGGTATAAAGAAAATTATTTAAATAATGTTTGAGTGATTTGACTATCATTAAGCATTTCTATTATTTTGTACTGTGTTATAATACAGAAGTCTCCAGCTATCAACATAGTCTTTTAGACTTGTAGCAATTACCACTTCTAACCGCTTTCAGGGTTTTATCAATTCTAAGGCAAATACTTTATCTGTACTCCATGTAGGAAATACAATGAATGCCAAGTGCTCTGCTTTCCTTAACTCCTCATGACTGGGGCATGTATATAGGTGAGTTCCTGTGACAGCCACAAAAACTTGACAAAAGTATGATGTCTTTAATTATCTAGAGTTAAGTATATACTTCAGAACATTTCTTAAATCTAAAATTATGCATATTTGGCTTGGTAATGTGTTCATTTATGCCTAGCTGTAAGTATATCTGAAATTCATTAAAAAAAAAATCTGGCATGACTTGGGAGAAGCAACTACACAAACCCTTTGTGCACTGCTGTTTGCCCAATATGGATTGGGTAAGAATGCCAAACCTAAGCTTAACTAGTTCCCATGTGCTTGCAAGTCACTGATGGTCAGTGTGAGATAATTAGGGGCTGTGGGATCTAGGCAAAAGGACAGTAATTATAGATTGTTAGGAGTTGGTGATGTAACATGTAGAGGGTATTTTACATGTGGATAATTTAAGAAAATTAAGTTTAACATATATACATTTTAAGGTAAAATATTGAAAGATAATTTAGGAAACTGCCTTAACTTAGTTGTGGTCTAAAGACAAGGAGGTACATGCATTTTGAGGGAAAGGTCATGGAGACATAAAATATGTATTGATTAATTAGGATGGAGATCAAATTTGACCCAGTGGTTTAAGGAATAGTAAGAAAATTCAGCTTCTCTTCTCCCATTTGCTGTAATTCGGAGATGTAAAGAACTCTGAAAGCTTACTCACATTTCCTTGTCTTAATTGTTGAGAACACTAAGTTGTTTTAGGGGTTATTTCTCATTTGAGACTTTTTCATATTTTTCATATATTTAATTTTTGGCTTCCTGACTTCAAAATAATTAGATAAAAAAATTTTAAGAGCAGAATTATGTCATCATTATAACTGACTTTATTATTTCAAAGTTCATTTAAAATAATAATTATCCTGTGATGGAACAGTTAGGGATTTGTGTTTTCTCATAGTTTTAATTGTAATCATAAATAATTGTTAATGCTAAACTTTACTAATTAATATCCAAGGATTCTCTTTTTCTTACAAATTAATCTAGAAGCAGACCTAAACAGAAGGGGAGGGTAATGCTCCTAATGGCATTATTTATGCTAATGGAATAAGTTGTAATGTTAAAGTTTTGCTACTAATCTTCCAGAAATTTTCTTAGTCTGAACCAATTAGAAAGTTTAAAATCTTAACTATAAAGCAGAAAATAAATGCATGTATTTCTTCAACATTTTCAAGCTACTAAAAAATATGTAAGATACACACCGATGTCTTCTCCAGGCTCTGACAGGCCCCCAGGAAACTTCCACATATTTTTTAACTGCAGTAGAAAATCAGAAAATAAGATTAACACAGCATTATACACACACAGAGATTCCACAAAACCCACCCCATAATTGGTGACGGCATTAGAGAATTTCTTTGTTGGTAATTGCATGCAATTTTTTTGCCAGTTTCCTTCCCTCATCTTTCCTTCTTTTTCGGGGGAAACTGGTAACTGATGAAATCTTTTCCCACCTTTTTCTTGTGGAAGTAGTTCTGTTTCATTAATGTGATAAAATCTGTATAAATGAAACTTTGGAAAGAAATATCTACTGAATTTGTGTAATTAAAAGTATTCGCTGCTAGTTAATTATGAACAAATAGAATCTTACAGATGCTGCTATAAAGAAGTAGAAAATACAGTATAAATGTAATCACTAAAGTAATGCTATTTTAAACTTTCACATCTATTTTCTGTATTGTTTCTAACCATATATAATACCCAAGATTTCTGTTATATGTATTAATGATTTTATGTAAAATGTAATTGCTTTTCAAGGTTAGTGTGAATAAAAATGATTACTTTGTATTTTCTTGTCTATCATTTCTTTTTGGGGGGGAAGGGGCAGATGGGAAGATGTGATATTGGATAAACATAGATGGAAGTAGATTATTTAGAGATTACACTGGACAGTATTCTTCCAGTTGACAGGATTATTTCTCTCCTGTTGGAGTTGTTACATATCTCCATCAAAATGACCAAACTGAAGAATGGGAAATTACAATAACATTCTCACAAGGGAGGTAAACCAGTAGCCAGTACACTTTATACTCTTCATTCATAAAACAAGCTTGTGGACCTGGTGTGATTTGTGAGCCACTCATTTCCTGGATGACAGCTTCTTAAAGAATGTGTCACTTCTCAACTATGTTAGGTTGGAAACCAGTGGCCTGGTTCCCAGAGTTTCCACAGACTGTTTATTATGTGGGTACAAAATCCAGGCTTTCCACCCTTCTGTGTCTGGTTCAGGCTGGGCCTTAATTTATACAGCACATTATGCTTGCTTTTGTTAACATAGAAGTATATCTTTAACACAGCTTTACCCCAATACATTCATTGTCTTTTGGGTTCCATATTGAAAGTTTAGAGGCTTTGCTTCTATAGAAACTATACCATCTTTTGTGTGATAAGATTTCGGATGTCACACCATAAATTCTATGTGTGACAAATATAACAGGGCAGACAGATGCTTCCTAAAAACAGTAAAAATCAACTTTTAAAATCTTGATCTGGAATTGATCTTAAATGACCAGAGACTGTTGATTATATTTGGAGAGAAGAACTTGATAGAAAGGGGAAAATGCTAGATAAAAGATTGAAGAGCTCACACAAATTTGGTTATTTTACAGAGTACAGCTTAGATATAGAAATATTAGTTATATTTTTATGCTGGTAAGTAGTTTGTGACATTTTCTGGCACCACTTGGGTTTAAAGAGCTGATTTTGTAAAAAACAAACAAAAACTCCTTGTCCCCCATGAAGCTGGACCCTGAGTCCTAAGTATTAAGAGGCCTAAATTCTGTGGCTTGAAAAACCTGACTAAAATCCTAGGTATCATCAATAGTGAGGCATGCATGTCTTCCTATTCTTTTTCCCTCTTTATATTAAAAAAAATCCCATTAACTGGATTGGCAATATATGAACAATATTAAAATATACCTAACATATGTTGAATGGTTACTACATTCCAGGCATGACTCACATTGAAATTTACCAATAACCCCATGGGAACTATTGTTCCCACTGTAGAGTGATAAAACTGAGGGCAAAATCTAAAGTGCCAGGGGTCTCACAGCTAAACTGTGTGGTAAACTCAGGGATAAAACAGCCATATTTAAAGAAATATTAACAGTTGATATTTTCTTAGTAATCCTTAACTACATGCTTTTTCATATGCCTTTTGATCTTTTCCTGGGATCTAATTGGAATGTCCTGCATAAATCCAATCAGACGTTGTATCTTAGATGGAACATTGCTGCAGGGCTTCTGAATTTGTACTATAGTGTTTTTCTCAGTAGTTCCCTTTTTTACATTCAGATGATATTTTAGTTATTGGAAAGCATTGAAGTTGATTGTTCATACTTCCCTGTATGTTTCTATACATCAGACATATGCAAGGTCACATTTTTCTTGCCCATCTATGTGCAGTTACACTTCTGGCAACATGAGGGAGAAAGGGAAGTGGTCTTTTCCACTTAGGAAATTTTAGCAGCACTGTTCATTTCCACTTGTGAGTCACAGGCAGAACTGGTAGTCTCTAATTCAGCTTCTGTGACTGATAAAGTCAGTGCCTAAATTGCCCATGACAGATGGTTGCCTGGCCTCTACAGATTCTTTGAATCCTTCAACAAATATTGAAAGGTAGGGAGTGGTAAAGATGCCACCTGGGGCCGGCGCTGTGGCTCACTTGGTTAATCCTTTGCCTGCAGCACTGGCATCCCATATGGGTGCCGGGTTCTGTCCTGGTTGCTCCTCTTCCAGTCCAGCTTTCTGCTGTGGCCCGGGAAGGCAGTGGACGATGGCCCAAGTGCTTAGGCCCTTGCTCCCGCATGGGAGACCAGGAGGAAGCACCTGGCTCCAGGCTTCAGAATGGCATAGCTCTGGCTGTAGAGGCCATTTGGGGAGTGAACCAACAGAAGGAAGACCTTTCTGTCTTTCTGTCTCTCTCACAGTCTTAACTCTGTCAAAAAAAAAAAAAAAAAAAAAAAGCCACCTGGTACTCCCGCATGGAATCCCGGCTCTGCTCTCAATTTCAGCTTCCTGCTAATGCATCTTCTGGAAGGCAGCTGTGATCGCTCAAACATTTGTGGTTCCTGCCATGATGTGGGATACCTGGACTGAGTTCCTGGTCCTTGGCTTTGGCCTGGCCCAGCCCCACCCATTTCAGACTTTTGGGAAGTGAACCAGCAATGGGCGACTTTTCACTTGCTCTTGCTCTGTGTATTTTGAGTGTTTCTGTCCCTCTGCCTTTCAGAGAGGAGAGGGGAGGGAGGGAGGGAAGGAGGAAGGAAAGGAAGGAAGGAAAGAAAGGGAGGATGAAAAATGCTAGGAGGGAAGCAATGAGAAAGTATGTGTATGAGAGAAAGATGTAGAGATTCCTTCTATGCTTGCAAATATCTTACTGCTATGTAACAAAATACTATGCAGCTTCTGGGCAAGTGCTGTGGTGCAGTAGTTTAAGCCACCAATTGGGGCCACTTGCATCCCTTACCAGAGTGCTAGTTCAAGTCCTGGCTCCTCCACTTCCAATCCAGCTTCCTGCTAATATGCCTGGGAAGCAGTGGATGATAGACCAAGTATTTCAGTTCCTGCCACTCTTGTGGGAGACCTGGATGAAGTTTCTGGTTCCTGGGCTTTGCCCAGTCCTGGCTGTTGAATGCATCTGGGGAGTGAACCAGCAGACAGAAGATTACTCTTATCAAGAGTATGTATCTTTTACTCTTTTATACTCACAAGCTTAATAACACTGTTCTTACAGTTATTGTTTTATTTTTATTTTTTATTTATTTAAAAGGCAGAGTTACAGAGATAGGAGGAGAGAGAAAAAGAGAACGAGTAAGCGAGCTTCCATCAGCTGGTTCACTCCCCAAATAGCCACAATGGCCAGGGCTGGGCCAGGCCAAAGTCAGGAGCCTGGAGCTTCCTTTGGGTCTCCCATGTGGGTGCACAGGCCAAAGTAGTTGAGCCATCTTCTGCTACTCACTCTAGCTGCCCTAGCAGGGAACTGCATCATAAAGTGGAGCAGCCAAGTCTTGAACTGGTGCCCATATGGTGCCTCTAACACCTAACACCACAATGTCAGCCCCCTCTCATAGTTATTTTCATGCTATCGTTAACATTTCTTCAATAAGCTATTTTTACCTTGTGGGAATCATGTTTGAATTTATTTTTTGAAGGGTCAAGAATGCTAATCAACTGTGTACTATAAACTACCTCAGGGAGCCAAAACCAAAAGGATTATTATTATTTTTAAATAAATTTGCATTTTCAAAAAAGATTTGTTTTGAAAGGCAGAGTGACAGAGAGACAGTGAGAGAAAGAGACCTTCCATGTGCTGGATCTCTCCCCAAGTGGATACAATAGCCAGGGCTCAATCAGGCTGAAGCCAAGAGCCTAGAACTCCACCTGGATCTCCCACATGGGTGGCAAGGGCCCCAGTACTTGGGCCATCTTCTGCTTCTTTCAGGTACATAACCAGGGAGCTGGATTGGAAGCACAAGAGCCAGGATTTGAACTGGCACTCCAATGCTGGAGTCTCAAGTGACAGCAAAACCTACAACACCAGCTCACAAAAGGATTCTTAATAAAGGCTTCCTCTGTTCCTTATAGAGTCTCAAATCTTAATAAAGGTTTTCTAAAAACCTTAAATATAGATCACCCCCCCCCAAGATTCTGAATAGTGAGAATTACTACTTATCTCCCTCTTAATCATTAAATCATTTCCCTTTTCTCCATAATATATTTCTCTTTCCACACTTGTTCTTACTTCTCTCTCAGGCCACAAACATGTACTTCTTAGTATCATTGATACCTGAACTAAAGAAAATTATCCCCAGCAATAAACTATCCCATCTGTACCACATATTAAAAACAACAACAACCTATTACCCTAAAAACTAAACACCATTCAAGAGAAGTCTTTTATTCAATATGTATGTAGGCATTGCCACTGGCTGTTTACTCCTTCTATGTTTTACTTCATTTTCTGGTGTCATTTGCTCTGGTTTAATGAAAAGAATACAACTCTTCCAGCCTGAATTCTGATTCTGTTAATTACTAGTTGTATACTGTTGAGTAAGATTATAACCTTTCTTTAAATGTGTTTTTCTTAAAAATGGGGATAATAAGTATGATTATTACACAAAAATTTTTTCATGGGAGGATTTTGTTAAATAGCTGATTATTTGTTTAACTGGTCTTATATATACTGAATTAGCAAAAACATACTGACATTAAAATAGCTGTTTATCCTGAAAACTTCATCACCCAAGATCAGGAATGAGCACTTTAATGGAGGAACACATTTCTCAGTGCATGGTTGAGCATGCTTATAATTTTTAGGGGCTGAGGCCTTGGCAGAGCTGCCTGTGCACTACAGGATGGTGCTACCACTTTACTCAGGTTTTTAATGCTCTTCATATAGGACTGTTGGTTCTATGAACCATGAAAAAAAATCATTTAGGAAGCTTCTAAGGTTAATCACTCAAAAGATTCCCCAGCCTAGAGATATGACCTTCAGTTGACTCTAAAGGCTAATATAAAAGTAAATCAGCATGGAAAAAGTCTCCATTTAAATCTGTATAAGTAAACAGTACTTATGAATTCAGTTACTCAAAATGGCTAAAATAATGCCACTGTGGATTGGTCTTGAGTTTTCCCTCTACCATGGGATGGGATGAGGACTGTCAAAATGTTCATGGAAAATGGAATTTAAAAATAAGTTGATTTTGGTGCAAAAGATTTTTGAAGGGTAGATGTTGTTGCACAGTGGGTTTAGCTGCTACTTGGAATCCCCACATCTCTCACCA